TGCTACTAATAAAATTACAAGTTCAGATACAGCATTTTTCACCGTACCAAAATGTTCAATTACATTCCTGTTATGATTATTACAACAACATTAAGAATCTTAGCTAATTATAAGCTGATTTCAAGTGACTTTCATATCTACCACTGAAACTAAATTTATTTCAGAACCAGAGTGCATTCTCATTCGTACACAAAATGCACAGAATTTGTATGTTCCATGACAGGGCACAGTGATAGAATTCGAATTGAGATAATAAGTTAGCATTAAATAATTTATTTTTACCTATTTCAACCTTCTTTTTCTATTTCACTTTGAAAAGTTATGTGTGGTCAAAATGAGGAACTTGTCTAATTTAACTGTATTGTAGTAATGGGATTACAGATCTTTATATTATATTTTATTTTTTTAGTTTAAGCCTAAAATAGGGGTGTTCTGATAAATTCACAGTAAATTTCACTACTTAGAACAAGGTCTATACAGAACTGCAAGCTGACTAGAGCAAAACAAGGCACCTTGAAAGGTTTTCAGTCAGTATTAATATGCAAGCTGTCAAAAAGAAAATCATAGTTTATTCCTTTATAGGGGAGATTTCCCTCACTTGGTTCTCCAAACCTCTTTTGCTTCACACTGCTTCTTGGTATGAGGCTTGAAAGGAAAATTAAACATTACTGCAGCTTAGCAAGTCTCAGCCAATGGGTGATAACTTGTTAATTGTCCATGTGAGCATGCTCAGCTGGCGGAGAATGTCCCCAGTGACAGACAAGTTCTATTGCTCAGCACTGATCATGGGCTAATCAGCTCAGCTGGTGGAAGGGACTGGAAATAGCCAAGCAGTCTCACCCAGTTGGGTTCAGGGAAAATACCAAATGGTAACTTGAGGCTTTCAGCTATTATTTATCCTGCAAGTTTCTGCTGGATACCAATATTGAACAATTAGTTTTTCTGAGTAGTTAGTGCCTGCCTTTTTCATAATAGCTAGAGCTGCATTTAATCAGGAAATGCTATGTTGTTAAAAATTTCATGGCAATGTATCTGTGTTGAAGGACTTTCTTGAAACATAGGACAGGCTTTGATGAGATGCTTGCTGGTTTCCTATCGATTCACCTAACTGGTTAACATGAGAGTCTGTGAGGCAACTGTTGTAGGTGAAACACCTCAGAGCCGTTGCTTCAGTCTTCCAAGGCTGCAATCACCTGCTGTAGCAGAAGCAGGTATCTATAGCATGTCCATCAGGATACTGCAAATAAGAAGGGGACCTTACAGAGGCCAGTAGCAGGACCCTGTATCAGCCAGACATTTAAGGTGGATCTGCTTCAACCATGAACTCCACAAAGAAGATCAAAAAGCTTTGAACTTGTGTGGGAAAATGCTATGTTTCATTATATGAACTAGAAACTGTGTAAATAGGAAGAATTCAAAGTAACAGAGTCTGGCATAATAGAAATTAAAAGCATTTTAAATCACTCAATTCCTTCAACTCCAGCTCCCTTTGTCCTTGCAAGCGGATCTTCACATGCAGACTCTTTCAGTCACTGTGGCTGAGTCTGCCCAATTCTCTTCTTTAACCTCTGTGCCTTGGGAAATGTCCTTCCCACATCCCTGGGGGTAGGCTGACTGCTGCAGTCCCTGTTCTATGTTGCAGTCATTCTATATATGATCTGGTGATAGCCAAGTTTTCTGTGGGATGCTCCTTGCTGCCATATGCTCCATCCTCTGAGTCTTGATCCCCTTGAGCAGGTCCAGTAGATGTTCCCTGTAGGAAGTGCAATAGTCCAGTCAATTTTTTAAAGGAACACAGCACAATTATGTCCAAAAGAACATGGGGAAAGAAAGAAATTTTTGTCCCAGTAGGTGTGGAGGACTTAGTGAAGACTTTCACCCTTTAAACAGTTTGTCATGGTAACAGAAATGAATAGAACCCCACACTGGATTTCATGTCTCTTTGCAGCTTTCAGTGACCATTGTTATGTCATTGACCTGTCTCCTCATCATGAATATCTTCCCAACAGCAGGCCATGTGTATTACTAGAGGGCTTTATAGCATCTATTTAGTTCCATACTGTGCTTTTGCCTGATAAAGGTTAAACCCTTCAGTGCCCTTAGGAAGGTTCTGGTGCTTTTAAAATTCATGTTTCCTCTCTTCAGAGGTGTTTCTTCATAACAGCCCAGTACCTGTAGGTACAAGAAGTCCAGAGAGTGGGTCTGCATATTGAATAGCAGTATTTTTAGGCTCACATCTCCCAGTACACCGCTGCCCATCAGTGCTCAGAGGAAACTATTTTTTTTTTATTCCTCTTTTTGTCTTAGTCCTGGTGTCAGAAACAGAATTGTACAATTGGATTTTTTCTTCAGAAACAACAGCTACAAGACAACCTAAACCAAACAGAAGCCAAAAAAATATAAATTTGTATCTGTGATGCTGTGGTCAATATTGTGTGAATATATTCCCAGACATAAAAATGTAAATTGTTGCAAAAGACAAACAGTGGTAAAACAGGTTGCATTCCACCAAAAATAAGCCAAAAGGCCCTCGTACCTTGTGAATTTACCACACCTGAAGAGGCACAGCCTTGAGTCAGATGTTTGACATCTTTTGCTTTGTCTTTCTGTTGTCATTCAATATGCAGGTCTTCCTCTTTAATTGCTGGTTTAGAATAGATCTTATATTCTGTCTATTGGCACATTCTCCTACATGCAGGGCAAAAATCAGGAATCAAAGTCTAGAAAAAGCAATAACAATGATACGGAAAATATGGAAAGGAACCCACCTAGAAAATTACTACATACTGTGCACACACTGAAACACTAGTTAGGAGACTTATATTCAACTAAGTAGTGATGGAAAACCTGAAAAATGCCCCAAAATAACACAATTTAAGGTCATTATGTTTCCCCAGAATTTCAGACTGTGACACTACTGGTCAGAGAGCTGTTGAATGCTTTAAAACAGTACGTAAAAAGACCAAAATCTCAGAAAATAGCTTTCTGACTTTTGGTCCTCCAGCCTATCAAGAGAAAGTATTGAAATATATTTTTGATAAGAGGGTTGGTAAGGAATAAGAGATAGGCTTCAGTTTGCTATTGGGAATCACAAAATTTACAGCAAGATATAATTTTAGAATAGGAAGGAGGAATTAAGAGCCAGGAACATTCGACTGCCAATCTTTGAGTTTCAGATTGATCAGGAAAAGATAAGGTAAATTTTTGGATAACTGACTAGTATGATTTTTTCCATGGAGACAAAATTTTCATTTTTAGTAGTGGTTTCCAAGGCAACAGTAGTTCATAAAAAGACATTTCTAGTATATAAACAAGCATTTCTGACAATATAGAGGACATCTAGGCTCTTGCATCCCTGCTTTTAGATAGACTGTATGTATTGGGTTTGTGTGGCGGGGTTTTGGGAGCTGCGGGGAGGGCTAGAGGGGTGGCTCCTGTGAGAAGCTGCCAGAAGCTTCCCCGGCTCCAAGTCAGACCCACCTCTGGCCAAGGTCAAGCCCATCAGTGACAGTGGATCTGGCTCTGTGATAACTAGTTAAGAGGGGAAAAAAACAACCTGTGGCAAACCAGCAGTGGAAAAATGAGTGGGATATGGGAGAAACAGCTCTGCAGACACCAAGGTCAGTGAGGAAAGGAGAGGGAGGAGTTGCTGGAGCAGAGATTCCCCCACCGCCCGTGGGGAAACGGCAGCTGTGCCCCTGCAGCCATGGAGGGTAACGGTGGGACAGAGATACACCTGCAGCCATGGAGGACCCTATGATGGAGTAGGGGGTCCTGAAGGAGGCTGTGACCCTGTGGAAGGGACCCACACTGGAGCAGTTCGTGAAGAACTGCAGCCAATGGGAAGGACTCGCATCAGAGGAAGAAGTGGCAGAAACAACTTGTGATAGACTGACCACAAGCCCCATTCCCTGTCCCCCTGCGCTGCTGGAGGGGGGAAGGAGGTAGAAAGATCAGGAGCAAAGCTGAGCCCAGGAAGAAGGGAGGGGTGGGGGGGAAGGTATTTTTAAAATTTGTGTTTATTTCTCATTAACCCACTCTGATTTGATTGGTAACAAATTAAATTTATTTTTTCCCCAAGTCGAGTCTGTTTTGCCTGTGACTGTAATTGGTGAGCAATCCCTCCCTGACCTTATCTCAACCCACGAGCCTTTTATTACATCTTCTCGCCCCCAT